TCAGGAGGTAATTGACCTGCACTGTTGGTAGGAGCCTCTTATGTAGCCATCTGAAGACAGATTGGAACCTCCTTACTCAGAAGAGTTCAACTATTTGGCCAAGGAATGTCAACTATTGCTGCAGAATAAGCTGGGTAGTCACCTGCTGACCCCTTTTCATTCTTTTCTGCTTTATTAGAACCTTGATATGAGAATAAGTTCAGCAAGAGTTGGAGAGGAGAGTGAAATCATTCCCAGGCTTCCTGTGGAGGTCTGTGCTCTGCAGGCCATGGTGAGCTAAGCCTGAGAAAGAATTAAAACAGTGTTGGCTTTGAGTCAGCAGAAATAGTGCAATTCATTTCATAAAAGTTTTGAAGGAACACTTTTTCTTTATTACAGGCTAAATGTCTTGGTGTATTTTGCTTATTTTTGTTGTATCTTGGGAATGCCATTTTCTAGCACGTTTTAGATCTAAAACACTGCGTTTGGACTTAATTGATATGCCTGTCACTCATCTTCATTTGGTCTTTGGGCAGTTGTTGCTTTTGCAGTGGTAAGCAAGAATGTCTAGATGCTGCTGTCTTTCCTTAGGTCAGAGCCACATTCATCCCTTGTGCAGGTGAAGCATATTCCTGCCGGAAATGCTCAGCCCTCATCTGATTTTATAGGAAATGTAGAGATCCCAGTACCAGAAGCAAGAATAGGCAAATCTCTGAAGTTTTATGGCTCTTTTTAAGGGTGACATGCAGAAATCCAAGTTACAAGTCTATGTGCAGTCTGATGAACAGTAGATATTCAACAACCAGGCCATTGTTTATACAGTTACACTTCTTTTTAAATATTAGAAACAAACGTACCTTTGATATGGTGAAATTTTAAACTTACCTTTAATTACTTTTTCTGCTTTAGTTAGTACTTGCATTTTTCTGAACTCATTTGGATATCAGAGCATTTTAGTTTCTCTCTTTACAAAATGTTAATCTTTGTAACATGTAACTTTGATTGCCCTTCAAGTTCCCCAGCTGTGTATTCCAAGAAAAACAAAGAGCAGACTGAAAAATGAGCTGATCTGATTGGTTAAAAAATTATTATAGGAAAGTCCTGCTATTTGATAAGGTTGATTTTCTTTTTGCAGCTGTTGTCTCTTTGTGGCTCAGAGTTTCAGTGCCGGGAAGCTAAAAACAGAGTTTTAAACAAAATGTATAACTGAAGTAAATTCATTCACCTGGTTCTGTAGTTAAGAAACTGTAGAAGTACACCACATGCCATAAACTTACGTTACTTGTTTTAGCACTTACATTTTATGTGAATTTTTTGTCTGCTCTATGCAGTCTCTTCTTTCATTAATTTTCTCCTGGTCATTCTGTGCCATATAAAAATTATTATCTCTATACAAGGGAACAGCAGTCTTCATAAAATTGTAGCGTATTTTTCCACATATCACTGTAATTACAAAGACTGAGACATTTTGCCAAAAACGAAACTGTGTATGCCATCCTTTATGTGTTTAAATAGTACTTTTTAATTGCCAGGTCTGCAAAACCTGTACTGAAATAATATAGAATCATGTTTGGAAAGGTTTATTGGAGAAATGCTATTTTTTAAAACGTGGAGTTCCATGCTGTCTGGTTTTAGTGGGTACAAGAGGTGTTTTCTCGCCCGGGATCTTTACTGCCACTGTCACTACCAACAAATGACAGTACCAGTGGCGGGACCAACAGACACTTTCATCCCCGCTTATGAGTTCTCAGATGGTGGAGCTTTGCCTGATGAGTTGTTGTATGTTAAGGTATTTGTGTATAGACATTTTCCACTGCCCTCCACCGCCATGGGCAAGTGTGTCCTTCGAAATCCTGTCACGATCTCTGTCGTGGAGATCTGTTGAACAACTGCAGAGACACTCGAGGAAAGAAAGATTCCATGGAATATTGTTGCTCAGAGTACTCCATTCTCAGTTGAAGAATATTAATGGTGTCACAGGGATGCGTTTTGGAAACTTGGTGAGGGCTGGGAACTCATCTTGTCCTTTTGCATTTGGTGGTTTAAGTTGCAAAACAATGGCTGAAGATAGAAATTGGCTTTCTCTCCGTGTAAAAGAAATCCAAAGGCTGTCATTCCAGGGCTAGTGTGGTAGCTCTATTCGTAAGAGGATCTCTGGATCCTTCTGTCTTCCTGTGTTGCCTTTTTTAACAGGTAGGCTACTGTTTTTAAGATTGCCCCAGAGTCATCAATAACTGCTGAAGCTCCAGCCATCTCATTCAAGTTCTTGGCAGCAAGGAGGAGGAAAGGACAAGGGGAATGAGCGTACCTGCCAGCTTAGCCCCTAAACAGCTTTCCTGGAATCCCATTCAACATTTTTTACTTTTGTATATTGGCCACTCATATATGTAAGCAAGGCTGGGAAATGTGGCGTTATAGCTGGAGTGTTACTGTTTCTGCCTGTAGGGGTTTGGCTATCCGGGAGGGGCAAGTGGATTTTGGGGAACAGCTGTCAGTTTCTGGCACAGTTCACCAAATCATACGTTCTGGTGTACATTTTCCGACAGTATTGCAAGGAGTAAAATGTAGAGGAAACATTTGTAGGGAATTCTTTTCAAGGTCGACACAATGTGAAATGTATGACTTAGAGCAGTAGCTCTCAGTTCTGAGAGATGCAGCACTCCAATTATATCACACAAATTTTATGACACCTGCTTTATGATCCTGAAATAAAATGCATACATACTTTAATCTACCTTTGCGTATAATTTATATGTGTACATAAAAATTACATGCTACAATGTAAGTTGGAGACAAAAGGTGATTTATAATAAAATGTTTTTCAGTCTATAAATGCCTAAATGCATCTATTGTAGGTGAAAAAATTAGATATTCAGATGCTGGTCATGTATATAAAACCATTGTGAATATAGCAACTATAACTGTAGCCTGGTCATGTGGCCTCTTGGTGATGCAAGGATTGAGAATGGTTTTATTGTGGTCATGTGATATTTTGAAAGGGAAAACATCTCCTGTAAAGTTCCAAAGAAAACCAAACACTGTCTTTCTTTGATTAACATGATTGTTGGATTTGTGGAAAGATCAGTGATGTTAACACTGAGCAAAAAGAGAAAAACCGTGTATTTGTGTGTTAAAAAGAGCATTGCTTAGATGATCACAAAAAGCAGGACATTTCTTCACCGTGTGCTAATATCCTGCTCATTTCAGAGTACCCTGCTTCTCTGAATCCACCACCCAAATCAATCCTGGTGCCTCCTCTCTTCAAAACCATTACATCAACAATGTCCGCACCAATTTCAGTGACTTCTGGGCACAAGTGAGAACCCTGCTTTAGAAGACTCTTTACATTTTCCATTTTTGTTTTAACTGACACTAATTCAGCAGTTAATGTGGTTAGTTTTTCCCTTGTTATCTTTGGTTTTGTCAGCTGAGCTTATTTCCTCTTAAGTTTTGCTGTAAGGCTGTATTAAGTGAATTTTAAACCCTAGTGAGGAATAATCAACACTTCCAACGTCTCAGATTCAGGTATTGAAAAGTAAATGTATTACAATCTGGCACAACTGCAGTTAGAAGAGGATTAAAGGAAGTGATTAGGAAATTCTGCAGGGTCATTTGCCACCAGGTTTTGGTTGTAAAGGCTCTCAGTTTTAGCTTTTCCCATTTACCTATTCCCTGTGTGCTCTTTTTTATTCTAAAGGCTTCTCTAAACTGGGCTTATGTCTGTTAAAAGTGCCCCTAAACTTGCTTCTCTTCTTTTTTTGGAGATGGAGTCTCACTCTGTCGCCCAGGCTGGAGTGCAGTGGCACAATCTTGTCTCACTGCAACTTCCACCTCCCGGGGTCAAGCCATTCTCCTGCCTCAGCCTCATGAATAGCTGAGACTACAGGTGCCCACCATCATGCCCAGCTAATTTTTGTATTTTTAGTAGAGAAGGAGTTTCACCATGTTGGCCAGGATGGTCTCAATCACTTGACCTCATGATCTGCCTGCCTCGGCCTCCCAAAGTGCTGGGATTACAGGCGTGAGCCACTGCACCCGGCCTGCTCCTCTTCTTACTAGAAACCCAAGGAGGTTTTTAGATCCAGAAGTATCTAAGCAGAAGGATCATGTGAAGAGGCCCTACTTAAGACACCTGCATCCCACACCTGGTTACCTTACGCATCACACACACTTTGTGTTGTCTGATTGTCACTTTTTTTTTTTCCCAAGAACATCTGGCATAATTAATTACTCATAAGTCTTATGAGTCACATAAATAGGAAAAACACAATGCTTTCTTTCTAAATTGCACCCTCACCTTTTGTTATTTCTTTGATTAACCCAAATGCTTTCATTTAATTGTAGTTTGAGAATAAATTGCCTTAATGTAGCACTGAAATCTTTTCTTTAAATAATGGCATTTTAATTAAAACTGCTTTTTAAAGTTAATGAGTCAAATAGAATGGCATTTTACATTTTCTTTTGTGATGTTAAATTGCTCTCCAGCTATGTCAGAAAGTTTAAGTACATATTCTTTGCCTAGTACTAGCAATCTAGTGCTAGTACTAGATTTTTTTTTTTAACTGAGGCTTTAAGGAACAATTTTGTTCCATAGTGATGATCTGTTGTATTCTCTCTAATATGTCTCAAGATAAAATTATTACTTTTAAATTTTAATTTGCAGATATCCCAGGAATGCAATTTCTGTTAGTTGATTTATGGCATTTAAGGCAAATAGTATGCCTATTCATTGAGTAGTATCTACTACAGTGTTTTGTTGTAATTAATGTTCTTTTATTTTCACCTAGTGTTTTGCATCATTTGGCTTTGTGATGTCATTGGATAACTGGTGGATTGTTTTAAATTTTATCCTATGTAAAACTGCCTCTGAGTAAAACTGTGGTGTGAATGGGTGTGCGTGTAATGTGTGTACATGTACGTGTGTGCCTATAGGTACACACACGTATCCAAGAACAGCATCTGTGGCACAGCCTAGGCCAAACCTCAGATCTTGAAGAATCACTCATGTATTTTGTGGGCAGGTGAGCCAAGATGGGAAGTCGCTCCTTGACAAGCTCCAGCGGCCCTTGACTCCTGGCAGCTCCGATTCCCTGACGGCGTCTGCCAACTACTCCAAGGCCGTGCACCATGTCCTGGATGTCATCCACGAGGTGCTGCACCACCAGCGGCAGCTTGAGAACATCTGGCAACACCGCAAGGTCCGGCTCCATCAGAGGCTGCAGCTGTGTGTTTTCCAGCAGGACGTTCAACAGGTCAGTTTCGCCTCGTGCCCTTCTGCATGGGAAATGGCTTTCATTGAGTAGAGTTTGGATACTTCATCATATTGGGAAGATCTGTGTCTAAGGAGTGATGACTAGAAGATAAGGAGAGGAGCTTTTTTGTTGACTGTAAGTGAAAACTGGGCTTAAGAACGCGTGTTCAGGCTACTGTCAGCCAGTAGCTCCTGTGCGCTGAACCCAGGAGAGGATGTGAGGCCTACACTGGAAAGTGTCTGAGTTTTCTTCTAGAAACAGATCATTCTCATTTATATTTATTTGTGGCAATAATGCTGGTGTGCTCCCGCAGTGTATTGTTACAATTTAGTTTACACTTGTATGTTTTCCAACTACTTAAACAGTGAGGTGGTCATGCTTCACTTCCCACTTGGTAGATAGTGCAGTCCCTGGTGCACAGTAGGTACATTATAATTAGTTATCTCGTTGATGAAAAGTAGACTTTTATGACTACTCATTTCTAAGCAGTTGACATCTCTTTTGTTTTAAAGAAACAAAAGTAAGAGTAAGTCCAGTTCCCCATTGATTTGCTTCCTTATGACAGAATAAGAGTTTTAAGGATTAAAGCTATGGGAGTAAAATATGACATAGCTTTAGGGATAAATAAGATAATAGCCGTGTCCTTGCCCCCAAATAGAGGGAAAAACAAGGGAATGAATGGGGTGTCCCCTCTGGGGAGGAGGAATCCTGGAGAATGCAGGGCAGCCCATGGCCTCAGGAAGTTGGCTGGGAGCTGCCGTGATAAGCCTGCAGAGAGCCACTCTCACTGTCTCAGGTTTCCATCTCCTGAGTGGCACGTGAAGGTGAGTGAGTTTTCTGCTGAATGGGCTGGGAGTTTGGAGAGTCGCCCTGTGTTCCGATGAGAATGAGATTCTCTGTATGTCATTCACCGTCATTGTCATCATTCTTCACTTTACGTCAGTCTGGTAAGTTCAAAAGACACTGAATGGGCCAGGCATGGTGGCTCACGCCTGTAATCCCAGCACTTTGGAAGGCCGAGATGGGCAGATCGCTTGACACTAGGAGTTTGAGGCCAACCTGGCCAACATGGCGAAACCCTGTCTGTATTAAAAATACAAAAATTAGGCCAGGTGAGGTAGCTAATACCTGTAATCTCAGCACTTTGGGAGGCTGAGGGTGGTGGATCACCTGAGGTCAGGAGTTCGAGACCAGCCTGCCCAACATTGTGAAACCCCGTCTCTACTAAAAATACAAAAATTAGCCTGGTCTGGTGGCACGTGACTATAATCCCAGCTATTTGGAAGGCTGAGGCAGGAGAATCGCTTGAACCTGGGAGTCAGAAGTTGCAGTGAGCCAAGATCGCACCATTGCACTCCAGCCTAGGTGACAGAGTGAGAGACTCCGTCTCAAAAGAAAAAAAGCCTGGCATGCTGGCACATGCTTGTAATCCCAGTTACTCAGGAGACTGAGGCAGGAGAATCACTTGAACCTGAGAGGCGGAGGTTGTAGTAAGCCAAGATCACGCCACTGCACTTAAGCCTGGGCAACAGAGCAAGACTCCATCTCAAAAAACCAAAAAAAAAAAAAAAAGAAGACTCTGAATGGCCCAGTAATTTTAAATTTTCATACACTGTGCTTTGGTTCTAATTTTATTTTTTGAGTTCTCCAAAGGTGACATATACAAAGTGCTTCAGGAATGATCATTTTGTTATTATTTATGCTTCTTAACAATGTTGTTTTAGTCCAAGAAGATAATTGCCGGAGAAAGAATACAGTGCAGGAAAGAAGAGGAGGGAGCCAGTGGTGAAGAGGGATTGAGAGGACAGACATTGTGGGAATGAAATCATGAATAATCGTGTTTTTGAATTGTCCAAAAACTTCTACAAACCATGAAATGTTGGCGGTTTAAATGTAGCTGTTGAAGCTTCCCCACATTCCTTGTATCCCTTGGGTCAAGCATAATTCCACATCCCTGGACTGATGCACTTCCCAAGAGGGGGCCTCATTAACTCACCCGAGGGAGCAGTGGCAAGGACACCCCCACCTTTCCCCCCACACCCCATTTCTCATGGCTCTTTTTTCTCTAAACTCATGCTTAGGTTAGAAAAGAGCACAAGGTAAGGAAGCCCTTGGGAATAGGCTGAATCTGGCCATCTAATTTAACGCCAAATACTTAATGTGCTTGAGTTTGAAAACAGCAAACATGTAGAAAGGTAATTATGATAATTATGAGGCCAGTTCTTTAAGCTAGCTTTTTTCCCCCTCTCAAACAGCATGTTGGCTTGGATGTCAGCAGGAGAAAGTGTTTTTTTGCAATACACATAATGCATATATGGTCCTGTTAGCATTCCATAGAAAATAGATACTGTTCATGAAGGTAATTATTTTTGTTGATGAATGATCTGGAATGGTTTGGACTTGTTATGTGAACAAGAAATTGCTCTGTAGGCTTTGACTTGTGAGGTAAAGAGTGAGGCTGATAAGATTAATCAGAGCAAATACTGTGACAATAGGATGTCAAAACCAAAACTGTGTTTCTGAAACTCAAGGAATTAATGACACATAGGGAAGTTTTTGCCATATTAAGTATAGAGTAGGAGAGGCAAGTCAAGAATAAATGAAAGAAAAATAGTAGTACTTTAGAAGGACGTTACCAGCAGAAGATAAATTTGTAAAGACAGTAGTAACCGAAATCCGAAATCCGTAAGAACATAGTAAACCTATTAGAGACACCACAGTGGTTTTCATTTGACTGCTTTGGGTGATGCAGAAGCACCTGTAAATACATTGAGAAAAAGGAAGAGCAAATTACTGAACAATAGGCGAGGCATGGCATGATGACAGTTTTATGAACGCCACCCCAGAAGAGTAAATGCTTGTCTGTTGAAAAATATTTGAAGGAACAAATACGTCTGTTAGTGGGCCCTGAGGAACCAAATGGGGGAGGATGACAGAGGGAGTTTGGTTTGTAAAACATGGTTAATTTTGGTTTCGTGATTAATTTTTTCCCCTCTTAATAAGCAGAGGCCAATTCATAACTTCTGTGCAGAAGGCATTTCGAATGGTAGTCGGGCGTGGCAGGAGAGGTGGTTGAAGCTGCTATGTGTAGCACACTTACCATGCTCCAATTTAGAGCTGGGCGGGGAGTTGGGAAGACCTGCTGAGGACTTTCCCAGACACACGTGCTGGCTGCCTTTGCCATTGTTCACTTAAAAAGAAAATGGAAATTCTTTATCACATTTCCTAATGATCAAATAATATGCATCTCTCCATTGCCTTATGTTTAGTATCAGAGTATCTCTCAGCAAAGGTTTGGTTGAATGAATGAATGAATAGCTGTGTTACTGCCACACACTGTTTTCTAGTTTAGAGTATGCTTTAGTTTTCTCTAAGAAGGTAACTTATTTTTGCTTTGCCTGTTCAGATGGGTAGAAGTAGTCCAAAGGGGATGCCATCAGACTTGTTTTTCTGCCTTACCCGTTCAGCTGGCCTGGCTCTACTTGGATTGTTGCGATTTAGTTACTCCAGCATGTCAGGAGCAGTGAATGGCCCCATAGGTTTGCTTTCCTGAAACCAGATGAGTTCCCTGAGGAAGCCCCTCAGCAGGGATGCCTTCTGCAAAGCCCCCATTTCCCCCATAGCTCTTCATGTGTGAGCGCCACCCCCTTGCAAGTGTCTCTTGGCAGGACCCTCCAGGGCCATGTTGGACCATTTTTAAAATAATACTTTTTTTTTTTTTTTTTTGAGACGGAGTCTCGCTCTGTCGCCCAGGCTGGAACGCAGTGGCCGGATCTCAGCTCACTGCAAGCTCCGCCTCCCGGGTTTACGCCATTCTCCTGCCTCAGCCTCCCGAGTAACTGGGACTACAGGCGCCCACCACCTTGCCCGGTTAGTTTTTTTGTATTTTTTAGTAGAGACGGGGTTTCACCGTGTTAGCCAGGATGGTCTCGATCTCCTGACCTCGTGATCCGCCCGTCTCGGCCTCCCAAAGTGCTGGGATTACAGGCTTGAGCCACTGCGCCCGGCCAAAAATAATACTCTTAAAAAACTGATCAGGCAAACCTAGTCCACTCTAAATTCTTCTTGTCCAGATTTTATTCTTTTTTTCTCTTTCTAAAACACCTTAATTGAATGTGTGATGCTCTGAAAGTTTCAGGGATAAATATGTTGACAGGGTTCAAGTTCCTTTTCTCAAGGAATTTATAATCTGATAAGAGTAGATTGTTTTTAGCAGATGGTTTTGTAGTCTAATAAATTTGACTGTGCCAGGCTCATCTGCAACACTCATGTCTTTGGTTATTGTGGAGTATAATTTGCTAAGGCGTAAATTTGAATCCTGCCTGTCAAGGTGCTATCAGGAGTGAGGGGTAAATAAAACTTGCGACCTCTTCTGTGGTGTCTGATTGCCTTACAGCATATACATTTTGATGGGGCATATGTACATTTCAGTGATTTGTGCAAATTTGGGTGTTCCTCAGAGCTTTTTCTGAATTCTCAAACGTCAAGTGTCTAATACATAAGGAAAAATGAAAGGTCCTACAGTAGAGGGGCAAGTAGCAGCTGTCATATTGAGGGCTACTAGGTACATCTTCGTGGAACAGGTGTAGTTTGAGCAGCCGTTTGAAGGATGAGGAGAAGGCTGGTAGATTGAGGAGTGGGCAATGGGAATTCCAGCAAGAGTAGGACAGAAGAGACAGGATCCATCCAAGGAGCAGCAGGTGCCTAATGTGGATGGGGAGGTATGAGGTGGCGCTGGTGCCAGCAAGGTGACATGGGGCCAGGCACAGAAAACGTGGCCCCCACAACGAAGGTTTTGGGCCCCTGTTGAAGGAGCTCAAGCTTACCTGCACCAAATGTCATGCATGGTGCCAGGACTGTGTGTGACGTGTGAACAGCAGCACCAAGCTCATCTTGGTGCTTCGTGGGTGCTCACTGCCGTGTATGTGTCTTTCCTGTCTCCATGCTCACAGCTGGCCTATTGAACTTTACCCGTTTCACCTCATTGAGTTCAAAACCCA